TAGCTAGTTAACCGTGCGCCGGTAGTCAGGACTTGTACTCGATGAGAGTAACAGCATTGCATGTTCATTTTATACCGGTGTTGGTGCTTTTCATCTTAGTAGATGGTTCTTCACTTTAGTTTTGATTATCCCTATTCTGTCATATTTTGATAAGTCACAGAGTATGCTCAGTTTGTTCCATACTTCTGGGACGTAAAATTTTACAGTGTGTTTTCTATAATTGTTTCTGGTGGAGGGTACCTGGAATGTGTCTTTGTTTCTGGTCACACTTGGGGGTTTAAATTTGAACGATTTTCTTAGTATTGCTGGTTGAAGACCATTTAAGTATTTATATGCAAAAATAGTAGCTTTGTACGATACAATGTCTCGAATAGTGAGCATACCAATTTCTTTCAATCGGCGTGTCACGGATTCTCTGTATGGTAAACCCATAACCCGCGAGTTGCTGGGGGGGGGGGGCGTTAAACGCCCCCACTTTTTTCGCCGGGCCATAGCATAAAAACGGCGCGCCGCAGGCGCGCCAAATTTTGGGTACCTGTAGAGAATTGATTGAAGTTTATTGTGACAAAGTTTCAAAAAAATCGGTCGGAAAATTTTTGAGATATCGAGGTTTTAGTGACGTCATGATTTCTGAGTTTTCGACCAAAAACGGCATATGTTCAAAAAATCATATAAAATCACAGAATAGACATACAGACATGCCGTAAACGCCATTAGACTGCCAATACCATGAACAATCAAATGGCTATCTTCGATTATTGATTATCGTTCCGCATTTTCCAAAATCTTGAACTGAATCTTTGCAATTTCTCGTGACTACTTCACGACCATGATACATGAATTTCTTAAATTGAACTTTTTGAGCCAAACACGTACACATATGATAAAATGAATGTCACCATCGTGTTCTACGCCCCAAATTACCCATAAAACATGTGTCACAGGCTGCGAATATCAGTTTTGATTTTTGGGGATATGTGCCTACCCGGTTGACCTGACCTTGACCCTGACCTATGCTTGACTGACCCCTACATGGAGCTGACACTCTTGTAGGCCTTATATGATGGATTGTGCACCGTTTTGACAGAGTTTATGACGAGAGGCGCCCATTGCGAAGTCCGGAAGTCAATGCTACTGAAAGCCCGATTTCAGATGTTTGACCTGACCTTGACCCGACCTGTGACCTCAAAATTCAATTTTAAAGTACTCATTTGAAGCGTCTCGTCGCGTTCTTTCGTTTGCCGCCTCGTGCGTTTCGCTGCGCCTATTGGTTCTCGAGTTATCGGCTGGGGGCGTTTAACGCCCCCCCCCAGCAAACGGTGGGTGGCGAAATACCCCAGCAACTGCCGGGATAATTATTCTGGCTATGCGTTTTTGCACCGTCAAGATGCCTTTTAAGTTTGTTTCATAGTTTATGCCCCATACCAAGCAGCAATAGCTTATATGAGGCAAGACAAGGGCGTTGTACAGTAATAGGCTGTGGTGCTCACTTAGGCACCATCTAGCCCGACTGATTATACCTGCAATTTGACTTAGCTTAGTAGAAAGCTTTTTTATATGCTCTTTAAAAGATAGCTGTGAGTCTACATAAACACCTACTTGATGTCATAGCGCATTCTCTAGAAGAACGGCGAAATATTTTATCTTTGACCTGCCCTGTGACGTCATCGGTGACCCCGACTCCCGAGGTCCATGAAATTGAATTTCCTTCTACAAATTTGGCACGGCTACCGAGCGCCGTTTGAATACTACGGATCCGTCCTGTGGTTTCGGAGATACAGTGGGATTCGGTGGGGGGGGGGGGGGGAAATGATCCCCTCCGCCGCGCGGAAGGTGGCCGGGAGGCCCACCGCCTGCCGGGTTAAAGTATGTATGTAAATATTGGGCAATTGACTTTAAACATTGATGATTAAACCTACATTTAGATATGACAGCGTGGCTGTGATATCAGGCCATGTTTTTTTAATTTCCCTTTTTGCTTAATTAGTTAACCAAAATATGTGACTAAATTGAACAGTAAGGTATAGTTGGCACACTTTTTTCTTTTATTTTAGATTTTGGAGTAGTATTACGTGCTCACAATATGCTGTGATATCTTTCTGACGTCATTTTTCTCTGAAGTACGTCATCGTTTCCTATTGTCCTGTTATCAAACGACGGTTACTGTTTAGATGCATCATATTTCGCCACTTTCGTGATTGTGAGCCACGCTTCTCTCGTACCTCTCGCATTCTGGCACCACCCGGGCGGAAATTTCCGCATATCACTCTTATCGAGAGTCATTGGGCTGGTTCATTTCCTAACCGACCCTTCCATATCCGACACTATTTTTGCAGATTAAAATTAAAACCTGAATTATGGAGAGGTAACGAAGCCGCGGACTTTAATCGGCGTTATCATCTATGCACGCGACGGCTCGGCACCCGGCCGGCGGCTGATTGCTGCTCTGGGGGAAGGCTTGGGACGGGCTCACCCATTTCATAATGTGCGGAGGTGTGGTCCATCTGACACTTGTTAAGACTGGATTGCGTAGAAGAAATAAGTTGATCAATTCAGTTGCTAGCTCCCGGCTATATTGCAGGTATTTGGTCAAAAATAGAGTTATCCATACGTTCAATCCATGCGTTTTTGATGTAACCATAACTGTAACGCTGCCTGTAAAAGAGTTGAATGTCGCCTCAAATACTTGTCCTTTTATCAACGTTTTACCTGTTTGGATACTAAGAGCACGTAGTAGAGTAACTGAGAAAAGCTTGCTTTCCTATATTCACTTTTCCTTATTTATTTACACTACAGCCTGTAAAAACAGTGTAGTTTCACTTACCAAAGTTTGTTTTTATTATTTTTTTTGTGTACATACATTTTTGCAACATCATTTACATTAGAGTTGCAAAGTTTTCCCAAAAGGCTGCTACCGGCACCGCCCCGCCCCACAAAAATTTTCTGGGATACCGGCATGCTACCACGCCCCAAGCAAAAAAAACCGCCAAATTACCGGCATACTAAAAAAACCTGCATTCTTGATTCTAGCTTACCCCTGCAAGTGATGCCACATTTTGGCAGTTTCAGTACCCCTCCCACCCAACAGCCATCCATTGTCCAACCACAAATACCAGCAGGCTGATTTTGGCTGAGTTGGCCCCACAAATACCCACAATTTTGAAACTCAATTCCAGTCTATAACTGTTAAAATATCACCTGTAATCAAAGAAGTATTGCCTACAAAAAAACTTACATTCATCAAAAAGGTGAGGACAAAAAGGACTTGAATTACTGAAATGTGTTTTTGAAGACTGGACAGTGAGCAGTAATCACATTTACATTTCACAGTTCTTCTACTTTTCCATATTCTCCTAAAATGTTGCAGGCACCAGCCAAATGTTTAAAATATAGATAGTCAAAACATAGATTAACAAGTACAAGTACAGATTAGGCCATCTTCCTAACTGAGGAAGCGAGATCAACATCTACTTTTTCCTATCCACTATGGCTTGCTGTTTCGTGAATAAGATACGAATCATGTAAAAAATGTGTTAATAACTCACTGGTCCTGACTCCTGAGAATAGTCACCAAATAATATGTATAAAAACGATATCTTCCATCCTCTCCAACCTCAAGCGGGAACAAACACAAGGTTATCGATTTCGAAACAGGTGCGCCATAATAGAGGCTTTTAACCAGCTGATTAAAACGCTGCAAAAAATGTTTAACGACTGCAAGCCACTGCTTCGTGAATGATTATATTGATAAAAATTACCCAACACAATATTAAATTATAATGAAATCAACATTGTAGTGTAATTCACTGCAAAGAAATTCATCTCTCTTCAGTTATTCAACCAAAAGGGTATATGAATAAATATTACGTCATCAGATTACATCCATTCATTAGGGGAGAGAGAATCTTAAAAGTAAATCCTTGGTTGTCTAATTATTTGCGCCACTTTTTGTCAATTTTGCCTGCATGGTGTGTTTTCTTGTAAAGATAAGACAAAATGCCAGTTTAAATCCATTTTCATTTAATAATGGGACCAAAGTCAGACTCAGGGCTACCTACCTAACACCTGCCTTTTCAGCTGGATTTTCAGTGTCAAATTCTTTGTAGAGTTTCTCAGAGCACATCTCATGATCTCAGGACTCAAGGCCAGTTTCCAAACATTGTGTTTTTTGGTGTTTTGATTCTGCCTTTTCCCCTAGGGAATGTTGTCATGAACATTGATTTATATTATTGTGCTATACGTATTACCTACCATTAGACTTACTAGTTTATCGTGCTTTTGCAACATGAATGAGTATTCTTCCTTTTATAGACCACAGTATATTCTTGACAATTCTAATTATAACCAAGCCTGTGAATTGTGTGAAATGCTGAGGTCCATGTGTTACCCCTACACTTAGCAATGGAACTTCTACCACAAAATGTGTCTTGCAGTGGCTAATATTGCTGTTACTACATTTTGAGAGCCTCTTAGTGTCCAAAGTTTGAATCATTTGCTGATTTTTTTTGTGTGCACAAAATCAAAAATACCGGCATGCTACCGGCAAGACATGCCAGTTACCACGAATAAACCTGCGGTAGTGAAAAATTACCGGCATGCCGGTAGTGCGGTAGTGAAATTTTGCAACTCTAATTTACATGCATGTTATTAAAATGTGAGACTGGCCTGATTTAGATCACCCCATACTCTTAAAAAACCCTAAGCCATCTGTTGACTGTAAACTTCTCTCCCCGGTAAGAAAACTTGCAGTCTCTCTTCACACTTCTCCTCCTTCCCTGTCCCAGCTCCCACCTGTCGTGTGTGCCCTGTGCCCCCGCGACAGCCCCGGGCGGCGCCGAGGGCGGTTGGAGCGCTGATCCGCCTCGGGGGAGGTGTTGAGGTCGGGACCACCCGGCCGGTGGCGGCCGCAGACCTGCGTCCACCAATCAATGGCCGCGTCGGTCGGCGCGCCGAGCGCCCGCGGCTATAAAGGCGGCGACCCGACCAGCTGACACGGCATTCTCTCTCTCTCAGCGGGCGGGGCAGGGCAGTGCGGGGCGCGAGGCGGCAAGCGGTGCGAGGGGTAACTGCTCTATGTCTCGATGTTCTATGTTGTTCTCTGAGTGTTGTGCATCGGTGTGCTGCCATGCCCAGGTGTTTTATGGCTAAGACGGGCCAGAGGGGGGAGGCCAAGGGCAGGTCCCCGTCTCCGCTAAAGTGGGCGCCCCTGAGCCCCACAGAGGGTCAGACGGCCCCCAGTCCCCCTCCCGCCCCGCTCATCACCAGTTCCGGCAAGGTTGCAATCCTGTACAATGGTAAGATCAACGGTGCCTCGCGTTAGACACCGCTCTAGCCACCGCTCTAGACACTGGCCTAGCCTCGGATAGAGCCGATAGTCTTCTCTAGTCACTTCGCCGCACTGTGCTGCATGCCGCACGCCGCCACTGCCTGGGCTGTTTCATGTCTGCCGCGCACGTCCGCCGAGATTGCGGCACGGATTTCTTGCATGTCTGGTGTTGCGCACGTACGTAGCACGTGGCACGTAACACGTGACGCGCCGCGGTCGTTACGGCCACGACGCAACAGCACGCGGCGCGTGCCGAGCTGTTTGTGTTATTGGGTGCCTCCGGGACTGCGCTCCAAGACAAATAGCTGTGTCAGTGAGGAGGGAGCGCGGCGGATGCAGCTCGACTCAGTCGGCCCCGGGGAGACCTTAGCCGAGCACCGGCCGCCAGGGACCCCGCCTCCCCTCCGACACGCGGTCAGCTGTTGCTTGTTGTGTTCAGTGTGGAAGCTTGCGTGTTACTGCATGCACAACAGCTGCCTGGGTGGATGTTCTGGTCTGCGGCTTTTCCTCGTGGATGTGTGTGAGCATGTGCGTTTGTCGCGTGCGTTGATTTGTGCGCGAAGCTGCACTGCCACGAGCACCCATCTCCAGTGTTGACTGGCTCTCTTGAGCATGTTTACCGCAGTTTCTCTCGGCCGTAAAGTTGGGCCTGAGAGCACCGTAAAGGCACCTCGTTCACCGCCAAGTTTCCCTAAATCCTCACAAACACCGGCACTTTTCATCGCACCCCGGCCGACGCTGTGGGATCATTAGTCAACCTTGTAAAAGTTTGATATCGCCTCCAGTCGAGGCGATATATTTTATTAGATGATTTATGAATGCTAGGAGATTAAGAAAACTTTGCAGAATGGATGGTGCGGTGTGGGACGAGGGCCACCCCTGTGAAGCACGCGGTCTTGAGCTCGTACGGGGTCCGTGGCCGGTGCAGCTGCCCCCGCTGAGCCGACGGCTCCGGAGACGGCCGGACCACCGCCGCACTATGGTTGGAAACGGCCTCACGGATGGCCATGGGCAATTTCGGAATATATGTATATTTGGGGTGTCATTCTGTTGGAAATTGATGAAATGTTTTGAATTGGGCAGAAAAAAATACTTAGTTGCGCATTTAGTCTTCATTATCGTGCGTAGAATCGGGAGTTTCTGATAGTGGCTTTTTTGGTGCGCCGTCAAAGGTTTAAACAACCGCGCTGGCGATTGCATGTGGAGTACCTCAGTGACGTTGTAAAACTGGATTATTATATATCAAAATAATCCTTGTTATGTTGGCTATCGAGTGGAGTGACTCTTTTTCCCATGTGTGTTCAAAATCAGGAACGGCATTGCATTCTGTTTGCAGTGTCACCACAGCAACATTTGCAAAATTACGTTTATGTTTCATTGGACATACAAAAAGTTCTCCATCGACCTCCATTGAGCTTTTTGGCAGAATAAATCTCTGTTCAATTCTGCGTGAGGGGAACCTAAAAGCAAACTGCGCACTTGTGCGCAAAATTGTCCATGAAGCTTCATCTCCCGAGGCGTACCTACCCGTCGCTTCGTTAGCAGCAGGTCTGCTCGTCAGTCGTGCAATGGCTTATCCTAAAAAATGATGGTAAGAAGCAGGGTTGCGGAGTCGTGGTGGCGCCAAATCCGACTCCTACTCCGACTCCGACTCCTGTCTCGTTGCCATGACTCCGGGCGACTCCGTCTCCGACTCCGGACCCCTGCCAGTGTTTCGGAGTCGTGATGGAGCTGTTCCGATTTCGACCGACTCCGACTTCCACTGCGGGCTCCTGACCGACTCCGACTCCGACTCCGACTCCTGGCTCGTTGCCACGACTCTGGGCGACCCTGACTCCGACTCTGACTCTGACTCCGACTCTGACTCTGACTCCGACTCTGACTTCGACTCCGCACCCCTCGTAAGAAGCAACTGGTCGCCCCTGCACCTGGAGTATGGATATCGTGCAAACGTGTATGGATATCCTGGAGTATGGATATGGATATCCACTGACAGAACAGACATACAGACATGCTGTAAACGCCATTACACTGCGAATACCATGGTAAATCCAATAGCTATCTATGATTTTTGATCATCGTTCTATATTTTCCAAAATCTTGAACTGAAACTTGGCAATTTCTCGTGACTACATCACGACCATGATGCATGCATTTCTGAAATTGATCTTTTTTTAGCTAACCACGTACTCGTATGATAAAATGAATGTCACCATCGTGTTCTACGCCCAAAAGTATCCATAAAACGTGTGTCGTGGGCTGCGAATAGGTACCAGTTTTAATTTTCGGGGTTATGTGCTTACCTGATTGACCTGACTTTGACCCTGGCCTATGTTTGACTGACCCCTACATGGATCTGACACTCTTTTAGCACTTATATGAAGGGTTGTGCACAGTTGTGACAGAGTTTATGGCGAGAGGCACCGATTGCGAGGTTCTAAAGTCCATGCTACGGAAAGCCTGATTTCAAGTGTCTGACCTGACCTTGACCCGACCGGTGACCTCGAAATTCAACTTTCAAGTATTCATCTGAATTGTCTCGTCGCGTTCTTTCGTTTGCCGCCTCGTGCGTTTCGCTGCGCCTATTGGTTCTCGAGTTATCGGCTGGGGGCGTTGTACGCCCTCCCCCCCGGCAAACGGCGGGTGGGGAAATACCCCAGCAACTGCCGGGTTATTTTTTACTGCCGGCATCATTTTTTACTGCGGGTTATTTTTTTATTTTTTACTGCCGGACGCATTTTTTGTCATTTTGATCGTCATTTTATTTCTTACTTTTTTGCCCAATCTAAAAAAATCATTAATACTTTTTCTCCAAACTTTTGACCCTTTATGACAAATAGTAGGACACTGTGCGTCACTACGTTGATATTTCTCGCCCTAAAGCATAACAACATTATCCATTCAGTATAGCAGTATTCAAAACATGCTCAAAATGCCTCGCGATATCGATGACATTACGAAAGACCTAGGCGACTTATAACATGCTTGCAATAATGACGTCACACATGCGTGACGTGACGGGACCTTGTCGTTTCTGAGTTACTGTATGATGCACAAAGGACACTGGTATACCTATGCAAAGTTTCATCGCAATCGGTCCACGCATTAAAAAGTTATGGGCAAAACATTTTTTCGCGTTGACCCCCGGCCATCCGTAAGGCCGTTTCCAACCATAGTGCGCCGGCGCGGTCACCAGCCTGTTGATAGTTTCCAACAGAAGCCATTAATTTTCCGGCGAATAATTTGAAGGAGTGATTGAACGGCGGGGTTCGTGCCCAGGGTAATTCACTTGCCGGCCGGCAAGACAAATGTACGCTGAAATGGGTCGGCGCGCCGGCCGGGCGGGCCAGGCAATTTTGAAATTATAGGCTTGATTGTGGGTTTATGCACGGGCAAAGGCGCAACGGGTCATGCGGTTGCCTGCGCTGGCTGGTAACCACAGCATGCGTCAGGGGGAACCATGGTTCTCCTATGCTGCCGCCGCGCACACAAATTTATGGATGGCTTAATGTCTCGGCACAGTTCGAAGTGCCCAGGATCATGGTGGGATCTGACGTGATTGGCTCAAACAGGCACGGTATTAATACTTTCCTTTTATAAGAGGCTGCTGTGAGTTAAGACTCGATAAAGGAAGTTTATGCGGGCATGGCATAAATGCCATTGAAAACCGATGCATTCCAAGTTCAAATTTCCAGCATTGTTTCCATTCGAATCACGCTAGCTGACAGACCTTGTGAGTTCTTTTAGAATATTTGTCATTTGATTGAACCATTAGGTATTGCTACGTTTGCTGAGATCTATTTTGATGTGTCTTTTGATCGAAATATTTTTTTTTTTACAAAAAAAAAACTCATTCTGAATAGCACTACGAGCAAATCGATAAAAGTACTAAATTGGGGCATAAGCCGAAAAGCATAGACATATCGCATAAATAAAGCTGCTAACCAGTAAATGTAACATTCGGTTATGCTAGAGATTTCGTATGTATGTTATTATTAACCCCCCCCCGTGACGCAGAATGTGGTGCTTTACGCCCCTTGGATTTTTTTTTCTCGCAAATATCTATAAAACAGCTGCCCATTGCGTTTTAATTTCTTATTAATTTTATCTTTTATTTACCGTCGGATTAATGATCGATCCTGTTTTTAATTGGCCGGCTACTGGGAGCATTGTGCACGACGCCTCGCAAAAAGCGCGTCTCTCTCCTCACATCGAGCAGAGTCGAGTGCCGTCCGGATTGATTTCTGACCTAAGGACGCTGCTAAGGATTTATGGGACACATTCGGCGTATTGAGCCAATCTCCGGCACGAATCGAGCCTCGATTTCATTGCCAATCTAGGGATGGAGCCAAGGAATAAAATAGATTGAAGGCTTAGACCGACTGGTGGTTAGTCTGGGCCGCCAGTGTGCCAAATTGTCCATTAATAATGGATCGCGCCGGCGGTGTGGTATTTGTCGAGCGCGCCGGGCGGCGGGCGCGGCGGGCCGCAGCCGGCATCCGTCCTGCTTTAGTGACCGAAGACCTGTAGATCGGGCCGGCCGGGCTTCGGACGGTTAACAGGTTTCCCGGCTGCCTGGTGTTCACCGTTGTGGGGCTACAGGAGGCCGTTGGAGCAGACCGGTGCTGCCGGCTGCCGTGCTGGGATTTCACAGCACCCCAGCGGTCAACCGGCAAAGGACAGACGTATCAGAAGCCCCGGCCCGGGCGAGTGGACAGGAGAGTCCCCTGTAGTGTAGAGTTGATCGGATAGGACTGGATAGAGGGACAAAGGCCGTTTATGATACAGTGCGTACCTACTACACTGCTGAAGAGGAAGAGTTAACGCAATGTTTCGTGTGAGGATCCAATTTCCACTTTATTCACATGCCCGGTTATGTTTGACTTTTTAGCGCCTCAGTTGCTGCGATACTGGTTGCACGTAAAAAGGTCCATCGTCTAATTTCGAGTCGTTCGCATATATAATTGAGGGCTAAGGGTCGACATTCTCCGTACATTCCTGCCTTGAGTCGGTTCATAATATGAATATTACACGCTCGTGAGGAATGCGCTTTACTAGTTCCTTCAATCATTTCACTCAACGTGTATGAGTAGACAGATTTTATATCATATTGCACCTATACTAGAGTCGCGGCAAGTAGCGATTCCGTAGCATGGTACGGCGCTCGTGTAATTTTACTTGTCATAAGCATCTTTCAAATGTTACCGTTCACCTTACCGCTCCCGTGTTTTACGGTTCAACGCTGCAAACTGTGCCATATCTTTTATCTAATGCAGCATCATCGTGTTAAAGACCCCGTTTTAAGTACATGTGCTACTGTATTGCATTTTATCGGCAATGTTTGGCTGCAATTGATGTGCAATATCGCAATGTTTCCTTCCCACTCCTGGATAAAGCTTTGTCAGCCGGTGGCCGTCGCAAACCGTTCTGCTTTGTGTTCGGAAGTTTATTTCGTACTTAGCATTTCTTCGTAAAGCCATTGCTATTTCTAAAACAAGTTGGAATAATCATGGTTTTGCAAGTAAGAATAAATACCTACAAAATGCGGGAATTCCCGGAGAAAAATTGTAGGCTTCCGAATCTGCGCAGAACGGGTCTGTTGCGACTGAGCCCCGGCTGGCTGTAGGGGACGCTGAGCCTCCTCTGACCCGCCGGGCGCCTGTCTGTCTCTCTTCAGGGTATGTGCAGGAGCCGGGCCGGCAGTATGAGTTTCCACCGCCACGCTCGCTGCCGGTGTGGTCGCCGCTGCTGCCGCTGCGGCCATCGCCCGTGTACGCCGAGCCGGTGTCGGTGGTACGGCACACCTCCTCCTACCTGTCGGCTCCGCGCACCGAGAGCGTCATCGTGCCGCCCTCGGAGCGGCCGCCCGAGGACCTGGGCGCCGCGCACGCCATCCTCGACCTGAGCACGGCGCGCGTGGACCGCCGGCCGCCGCCGCCGCCGCCGCTGCTGCACCACCACCCGGCGTACCCGCCGCCGCTGCCGCTGCCGCCGCCGCCGCACCACCACCGGCCCCGCTCTCCGCAGTACCCCCCTCCCCCGCCGCCGCCGCCGCCGTCACACTCACTCCCCCCGCAACATCATCAACAGCATCAGGAGCAACAGTATCAGCATCAGCACCACCAACAGCAGTCACATGGGGTTCAGCAGGAGCAGCAGCAGGGAGGCGCGACCTCACCATCGTCCCCAGGAGGCGATCCTTCTCAGCAGACGGTTCAGATGGAGTACATCAACGGTAAGCCCATCTACCGGCTCAACAATGGTAAGACGGTGGCGTATACGTATGAAGCGTTTTTTGTCAGTGACGGCCGCAGCAAGAAGACGACTTCGCCCGACCAGCGCTCCAAGTACAAATGTTCCGAGTGCGGCAAGACGTACGCCACGTCGTCCAACCTGTCACGCCACAAGCAGACGCATCGCAGCATCGACTCGCAGGGCGCTAAGAAGTGCGCCACCTGCGGTAAGGCCTACGTCAGTATGCCGGCGCTGGCCATGCACGTGCTGACGCACCAGCTGTCGCACAAGTGCCACGTCTGCGGCAAGACGTTCTCGCGGCCGTGGCTGCTGCAGGGCCACCTTCGCTCGCACACGGGAGAGAAGCCGTACGGCTGCGCGCACTGCGGCAAGTCGTTCGCCGACCGCTCCAACCTGAGGGCGCACATGCAGACCCACTCGTCCGTGAAGTCGTTCAACTGCAACCGCTGCGACAAGTCGTTTGCGCTGAAGTCGTACCTCAACAAACACTACGAGTCGTCCTGCTTCAAGGAGGACGCTTCGGTGGGCTCGCAGCCCCTGACGCCTCCCGACTCACCCATCGACGTGGTAAACCCTTAGTCCACCGGTTAGATGCAACCACAAGCCATTCAGCACTACCGCCTTATCATGTGATTCAAACTATTCCATAAGTCTCGCAACTTTATTTACATGCTTAGGTTGTTGTTTGATGTTGCTGGGGGACAGATCAGGAGTGTACAAATTGATGTATTGATAAGTGTACATACACCGTAGTGAGGCCTAGGCATGGATGATGAATCTAGTCAGAGAAGTTTTGTCTAACTAGTCAGATCAGGTATAGGTAATGTTATTGAATGTCCTCTTTGGAAGACAAGTGAAGGTTCCATAAACAACGAAGTGTATAAAGTGTGATAGGTTGTAATAAGCAATAGAGAAGCAATACTCAAATGCCTCTACTGCTAAACCCCAGCCTAGAAATACTCAAGTAGGATAGGAGAGGGATGGTGATGCTGACTGGCATTATGTCCTCTCAGTTCTATTACTCTTGTCAATTTTCCTTTTTTGATCTACTATGCACTTCCTCGTTCCTCTAGTGGCACTTATGATAGCTACTTTAGAAGATCTTCTTGCATTCTTTTACACAACAGTAATACTAGTGATATGCACATAGATTACACATTACCATTCCCAGTAATATTCTACGAACAATATGACATATAAACTAGCAGTTCCGTAACTATATCTTCATGTGAAACCCATATACATCTTAGGTTACATGCATTCATTCTGCAAGTCATGGGTAAAATTTAAAGCTTTCTATTCAACCGGTTGTATTATTTATTGTAGCCATTTCTTCGTGTTTTTATATTAATTTGACATTATCATTCTGACACATCCTACAAACAGATGTGTGCATTGTGCAAGTAATGTGTGCTTTTTGTTTACTTATGCATTATACATAATTGTCAAATGTCATTCGACGTCACTTGCTCATGATCTCTGATGGCTGTTATTTGTGTTGATTTATACGGGTACAATTATTTATCTTGAATATGAGTTCCAGAGCAAATATCGGCTTTCACAGGCCGCGAGAGCCACCACCATGCTAGCAGAAGCCCGCCCTAGCTACCCCAGTCCCGAGTCCGGTCCTCACGGCAGTCTCCTCACCACCCCCAGCCGCACGTAGACAGGCGCCAGCGGCGGGCCCGCTATCGGCGCTCCCCAGATCGTTCTAGGATACCGTCCTGTCTGTCCTTAGGTGGCCAGCCAGTAGCCAGCTCTCTAGATTAGCCGTGTTCGTTCGTGGTGACGATGGGTGCGCGTTGCGCCAAATAACGAGTATTCACAAGCAATAAAATGTAGCGTGGACCGTTTGCAAATGCCACGTTTGCATGTTCTCGCCAGCTATGCCACCTCAGACGTGTCGGTAGGGAAAAATTCGTGTTCAACAGCCGGATTTGCTTTCGTGTCGTGCTGGGATGTTATAAACCATTCTTAAGTCGCCCGCTGGCCGCCGCACGACGGTGGCCAGACCCCCAATGCTCCCTAATGCAGAAATGTGTTTCGTTCGTGTGACTCAGCAGTATAGTTTCATGGCATAGCTGAGTTTTCCAAAAATCCTAATTTGAATCTTTTTGAAGCTCCAACGAATCTGATTCATGAGTCCAATTTACTCGTTATATGCAGACGGCTCATGTCTGAGGTGGTTTTTACTGGCTAGCGGCTCATGCAGGAACGAATAAGGCTACTATGCAAGGTCTGAATAGAAGCAATAGAACATAGCAATATATTTAATATCGTATCTTGATCGTGGTTTGCAGTGTGTTGAATGTGAGCGATGAAGTATTGGTGTGTATGTTAGTGCTGTATTTGAATCATCGTGTTGAGCGTTGTGTTGTTCGTCAGCCCGCCTAGCAAAGCCCGCTGCCCCACGCGAATAGCAATTGTAGCAATAACACAGTGATCTTGTCTCCTGGAAATGTTCGGCTATAGTCGAGGCGACTTAGAGCCTACGACTGCTCAATAGTTTGCTGACTTGTATGTGAGAGCGAGTGACGAGTGCGCTTCTTCAAATGTTAATGAATGCAAATAATTAGGCTAGTTCATTCTTGGAAACATTCCATTGGTCGATTTTCTATTTATTTTCCTAATAAACAAAAAATGAAAAAGTGTTTGCTAATCAAAAGCGAGGGTTCCGGCGAAGAAAAAAGGAAAAGCGAAAAAGAGAGGGAAATATATAGAGAGGAAGAGAGTAAGTGTGATAAGGGATAAAAAGAGAGAGGGAAGGAGAGATGGAGAAATGGAGAGAGCGCGAGAGGGAGAGTGGGAGGGAGAGTGGAGAGGGAGGGAGGGAGAGAGAGAGAGAGAGAGAGAGAGGGAGAGAGAGAGAGAGAGAGAGAGAGAGAGAGAGAGAGAGAGAGAGAGAGAGAGAGAGAGAGAGAGAGAGAGAGAGAGAGAGAGAGAGAGAGAGAGAGAGAGAGAGAGAGAGAGAGAGAGAGAGAGAGAGAGAGAGAGAGAGAGAGAGAGAGAGAGAGAGAGAGAGAGAGAGAGAGAGAGAGAGAGAGAGAGAGAGAGAGAGAGAGAGAGAGAGAGAGAGAGAGAGAGAGAGAGAGAGAGAGAGAGAGAGAGAGAGAGAGAGAGAGAGAGAGAGAGAGAGAGAGAGAGAGATTAGTCATGTCGCGACATATGCTACCTAGCATCATGCTTTTGCCCTAGATCCACTGAAATCATGATTATCAGCATAATTTTGCTAAGATGACATGTGCTATGTATTGAAATATGCTTCCCTTTGAGGTGAATAGGCACAAAAAATTGCTGATGCGCAAAAAACGTTTTTGCTTTGCATTTAACCCTTGTTTCGCATTGGTGTCACATCACGCCCCATTTATTTGACGTCTGTCGATTTCGACGACCGTCCATGGCCTGCAGCCTTGCGCAACAGTTGCTGTCGATTCGTCGGCCGCCGACGAAACTGGAATCACGCGATGTCGATGTCGTTATCACTTGGACAGGGCTGCACCCCCAGTTTGGCTTCCATTTAACTGATTTAGCCCAGTCATGTCGCAAGGCGACAGTCCGCTGACCACAACGTGGCATGCATGGCGAAAGACTATTTCGACTCACCTACGTCTATTCCAGAAAGTTTAAACTACCACCTACACCCAGGCTGTGACGGCAAAATATTATTTAGCCAGTGCATACGATTGCTATACGAGTATGTGTTCATCACCAGCTCCAAGTCTTCAAATAAAACTAAGTTTCAGCTGACAGTGTGACAGATGACAGTTGACAGAGAAACTCACTTATACTTCATACACCTACGCGTAACTTAGCCCACAAACAGCCTTTTACTCAATCCTCATATCATCGCGCATGCATGGTTTACACTTTACAGTGCTCATTAGGGTGTCCCAAATTTCACGAAGTTTTCCAATTCACTTAGGATACACCGGGATCCCGTTCCTTGGTTCATTTGAACCTCACACGCCAATTTATAGAGTAAACTACCGGTAAACAAGGTTGCCGCTAGTGCTCTGAAGTTTTATTTGCATTTTGGTGTTATATGATAATGCAGCGTTGTAGTCTCCGAAAGCAAAATGGGACATCTGTGTAAGCAACGTAGCAATGTTACCTTCTCCGATGCTCAGTGATGCTCAGATCTCACGCACATTGCACACTGATGAAGATCCGGGTATATGCACGCATACACAGGTGTGTAACTGTGTGTGTGCGTGCCCGTATGCGTCCATATGTGTGTATGTGTGTGTGTGCGCGCGCGACTGCGTGCGTGCCTACCGGAGAGAAGGCAATGCCCGCTTTAATCTGGGTGTGAGTGATTTCATGCGCCGATGATTTTGTTCAGGAGTAAGTGATCAAATACAGGTCTCAGGTTGGTAGGTACTTCAAATGTCTCGCTTCAGATCGAACCGTCTGCGGCAATGGCACACCACATAGACGCAGATTGAACGGAATCAAATTTATATTGAAGCGGTGGGTATTAAGTTCACCGTACCCTGCTCTGAGACCGTCTACGCGTAACATCATTGTATCCTGCTCCGAGATCCGCATAAACAAACATCATACCTTGCTCTGAAAACTGTCTAAAACATCGTACTCTTCTCTGAGATCCGTCTTAAACATCGTACCCTGTTCTGAGATCCGTCTTAAACGTCGTACACTGCTCTGCAATCCATGTAAAACATCCTACGCTGTTCTAAGGTCCATCTACACTCTAGTCTACAGTCTACACGTAACCTCATCGCACCTTGCTGTAATATCTGTCTAACCACTACAGACCAATGTAGTCCTTCGTGTGACCGTAAAGCGACCTGTGCCATGCCACCACCTGGGCCAGCGCCTGCAGCTGGTCCTCATCTGCCGTTCTGTCCATCGACTCCTGTGCGAGCTTCACTCCGCGATCCGCTCCATTATTCACAACTGCCAGACTGTTGATGTATTTGTGAACTGCGTTGTAACCTGAGATACTTTTGCATTTTTGATAGGCTCTTGCAACCATTCGAGGGCGCACTCATCCAGAATCTTGATGAGTGCCCCCTTGAATGGTTGCACCCCGCTATGAGAATCATAGTCACTCATCCAGAATCTGGACGATTGCGCCCTCGAATGGTTGCAAGAGCCTGTCAAAAAATGGGAAAATATCTCAGGTTACAAAGCAGTTCACAAATACGTCAATTCTTTTCCATTATTCACAACAGTCTGGCAGTTGTAAATGATGGAGCGGATGGCGGAGTGAAGCTGGCACAGGAGTTGATGGACAGAACGGAAGATGAGGACCAGCCGCAGGCGCTGGCCCAGGTGGTGGCGTGGCACAGGTCGTTTTGCGGTCACACGAAGGACTACATGGGTCAGTGGTAGACAGATATTATAACAGGGTGTGATGACGTTACGTGTAGACTGTATAGTGCAGATGGATCGTAGAGCAGCGTAGGATGTTTTAGATGGATCTCAGAGCAGTGTGCGATGTTTAAGACGGATCTCAGAACAGGGTACGATGTTTTAGACGGATCTCAGAGCAGGGTACGATGTTTTAGATGGATCTTATAGCCGGGTACGATACTGTTGACGGATCTCAGAGCAGTGTACGATGTTAAAGACGGATCTCAGAACAGGGTGCGATGTTTTAGACGGATCTCAGAGCAGGGTACGATGTTTTAGACAGTTTTCAGAGCAGGGTATGATGTTTGTTTATACAAATATCGGAGCAGGATACAGTGATGTTACGCGTAGACGGTCTCAGAGCAGGGTACGGCGAAGGTAATACCCATAGCTTCAATATCAATTTGATTCCGTTCAATCTGCGTCTATGTGGTGTGCCATTGCCGCAGACGGTTCGATCTGAAGCGAGACATTTGAAGCACCAACCTGAGACCTGTATTTGATCACTTACTCCTGAACAAAATCATCGGCACATGAAATCAATCACACCAAGATTAAAACGGGCATTGCCTTCTCTCCGGTAGGCATGCACGCAGTCGCGCGCGCACACACACACACACACACACACACACACACACACACACACATACACACACATACGGACGCATACGGGTACGCACACACACAGTTACACACCTGTGTATGCGTGCATATACCCGGATCTTCATCAGTGTGCAATGTGCGTGAGATCTGAGCATCACTGAGCATCGGAGAAGGTAACATTGCTACGTTGCTTACACAGATGTCCCATTTTGCTTTCGGAGACTACAACGCTGCATTATCATATAACACCAAAATACAAATAAAACTTCAGAGCACTAGCGGCAACCTTGTTTACCGGTAGTTTACTCTATAAATTGGTGTGTGAGGTTCAAATGAACCAAGGAACGGGATCCCGGTGTATCCTAAGTGAATTGGAAAACTTCGTGAAATTTGGGACACCCTAGTGCTCATACTTCAGGTTATGCTTAACGACATGTAGGCTGAGCTCAGCTCTGTCTGTTCATCTTCATACTTGAGCTATACGTGTTGGTTGAGAGTTTGGCTGAAATTAGACTAATTTCGAAATGATGATTCAGTTCAATTTAGCTCATGGTTTAGCATCAGAGAAGAAAATATTGAACCTGCTACAAGGAACTGAGCTCAGCATAAGACCCGGTCACAGGTCTGCAGTGTTCTAAAATTGGATTTTGGTTGGGTGTGACGATGATGACCAAAAAATCTAGGATGAAAAAAAAACAAGTGAAAACCTATATCACTTTCGCAATAAAGGCGTAACGCTACGCTGGCTGATAATAAAAGAACATACCATTCCTGACCACCAAAACTAACCGAAAAAGACGATGCAAATAGGTAAGGGTGATATACGGCAGAATTATAACTTTAGCATCTGATCGCCAAGTGTTTCGAAACCCGTCCCATTTTATCCCAACCTTTGTGTTTGATTGAGACTAATGAAGTTAAGAATCACCCTTGTCTCTTATACAGCTAAGAATGAATACCTACTTCAACCAGTGAGATTTCATTTTCCTCACAAGTCAAAATGCATTGTCACAATTGAATGACTGTCCAGTGGCCATCCTACTCCTAGCCGTAAATCAATGCCTTCCTTTCCGTTTCAGATGCAGACAGCAGATATTACCGTCAGCATCTGCTAAGTTCCTACTCATGCTTACTGGCACGGATCCAGGACGGTCCTTCTGCCTGTATATTTCTCCTAAAGAAAATCATCCGCGGACCTCCATCCTCGCGACGCCAGTCGCCATCATGCGAGCGAACTAAGTCTTTAAGAAGCAAAAGATGCAATGATTCTGTTTAAATCTGTTGTCATATCTTAAGGAGGGTGGGGGAGGGGCGGGTGAGGGAGCTCTCTCTATATGCAGGCTTTGGTACGTGCCATGTGGAGAAGTTTTCTTTCTTTTTAAGCAAAGAAAGTGGGAAGGAACCTGTCTTTGCCGTTGCAAAGGGTATCATTCTGTCGTCCTGTATGATTGATTTAGTGCAGTTGACTCAGACTGTGTAATGCGTGAGGCGTGGTCATCACTGTGACACTGTCAGACATAACATTTTAGGTAATCATGATACCCTGATGGGCAGTTTGTTGACGTAACTGATCGCTATGAAACCGGAAACCGTATAACACATGTGTTCTGGCCTCTGGGACGTTTTGTGCCTACAATATGGCAGCACCGCTTCCAAGATTACTGTATAT